TTCTGTTTGGATTAAGATATTGAACGTTCTACTGAATGCAGATAGGTTTTTACACGTTGATAATTCTCTTAAATAATCAATTGTCCAGTGACACTACGTATCCCATTGAAATGCAACATTCTATGTTGTACAATAGAAGAATGACAAGCTCGTTGTAAGTTCATGTAGAATCCATTTTCTTTTTCAATTTTTTTTTTTCAATTCTTATAAAACGGCTTACAATAGTATGCTTGCTTGTACAAGCTATGGAGAACCGAATAAAGTTATATGGCTTGAAAACGACGCTCTCTAATTGATTGATAACACAAGCAATAAAGAACTAGATAAGACTCAGACACTTATAAGGACTTCCTTTTTTAACATTTCTTCATCTTCTTCTACATCTTTTATGGTCTGTGACCTTTTAAAACCTCGGTGATCATGGTTCTCCACAACTTTCTATAATTTTAGCTGTTATTGCGGTTTTCTTTTTTTTCGTTTTTTTTACAAGAATCAGTTCGTTGGCAATCACGGATCTCCATAACATTCTACAATTTGTATCTCTTAGTAAGGTTTCTATTTATTTTTCGTCCAAAGCCTTGACATGTACGATCGTGGATCTCCACAACTACCTATAATTTGTAGGCTCCTAGTAAATTTCTTTTTTCCCAAAAATCAGACCGTGTGTGATCAAGGATCTCCGTAAATTTCAATAAATTTAGCTCATAGTAATGTTTTTTACCAAAAATCTGGACGTGGGCAATCACTGATCTTTATAACACCCTATAATTTGTATTTCTTAATAAGGCTTGTTTTTATTATTCACTAAAACTCATCACGTGGGCGATCACGGATCTCCATAACACTCTATAATTTGTAGCTCTTAGTATTTTTTTTTTTACCAAAATTATGGATTCCAAATCGCAATCGTTCTTTTATGTAGAAATACACTTCATAATAATATAATATTCAGGCATCTTGCTGTTGTAAAAATGCCTATTAAATCTTGTTCTTTTTCTATGTGTCGTGTCATTTCAGAACATGAACGATCATTGCTCTCCATAACTTCCTATAATTTGTGACTCTTAGTATGTTTTTTTTAATTTTTTTTTTAACGAAAAACCAGACCATGCGTGATCAAGGATCTCTGTAAATTCCTAGAATTTTAGCTCATTGTAATTTTTTTTACCAAAAATCAGGATGTGTGCAATCACTGATGTTCATAACTCCCTATAATTTGTATTTCATAATAAGGCTTGTTTTTATTATTCACTAAAACTCATCACGTGAGCGATCATAGACAGGAAATTGTAACTTCCTATAATTTGTAGCTCTTAGTATTTTTTTTTACCAAAATTATGGATTCAAAACCTCAATAGTTCTTTTATGCAGAAATACACTTCATAATCATATGATATCCAGGCATATTGCTGTTGCAATAATGCCTATTAAATCTTATTTTATGTGTCAGGACATGAACGATCAGGGCACTCCGTAACTTCCTATAATTTGTAGCTATTAGTAAGTTTGTTTGTTTTTTTGTTTGTTTTTTTTTACGAAAAATCAGACCGTGCGTATTCAAGGTTTTCCGTAAATTCCTCTAATTTGTAACTCTTATTATGTTTTTTTTTTTTTACCAAAATTATGGATTCCAACCCGCAATCGTTCTTTTATGCAGAAAAACACTTCATAATAATATAATATCCAGGCAGCTTGCTGTTGCAAAAGTGCCTATTAATTCTTGTTCTTCTTCTTCTATGTGTCGTACTGCTTCAAGACATGAGCGATAACGCCTCTCCGTGACTTCCTATCATTTGAAAGTCTTTATGTTCAACATTCATTCAACTCCTCGTTCTGCTATACATTCGTATAACCTCGTTAGGTCGGTGCTTCGTTACCTCTTGTTCTTTTTTCATTTGTTATGTCTTATGGGTGACAAATTCTCCAAGCCATCTCTCTTTATACCTTCCAAAAGCTTAACAAAATATTAATATAATATCAATCAACCTGTATGGCAGTAAATATTGAATGATGCTAGGAATACAATGCCTTGAACATGTGAGTAACAAGGAAGCTATAAAGAAAATGGTGACAACGAGGAGGCTTATTGTTAGACTCAGAGACAGTTAAAATATCTGGGATACAAAATGCGGAAATCGGGTTTATTGATGGACGGTAAGATACAGTAAGTAACCTACAGAATTATTCTTCTATGTGTAATGTCATTTTAGGATGTTGGAGATCATGGCTCTCCACAATGTCCTGTCTTGTATCCTTTAGTAAATGCTGTCTTATTTGCTACCTCTCCTAAACTTCGTTCTGCCACCCAAGATCGTCAAGTAGGTTATGCACCGTTTTCCTATATGCCTCTTGCCTTCCATATATTCTGTGAGTGTCCAATTTTCCAGTTCCTCTTTCCACATTATGTGACCTAATAATTTCAACTGTCTCTTTCTTCTGATCCGTATTAGTGTCCATTTTGCTTCCATTAATATTCTGTAAAGACATGGCAGAACAGGGAGTGAAAGGGATGGTGAATGAAGTGCCTTACCAATGTTGATCATGCGTGTCCCTTAAGGCCATGGCGCATAAAAAAGACGAATACATGACTTTTGTCACGTCAGCGTATAGTTATAATGTTTAATTGATTAATTCTGTGTTAATGCCAGGAATTTCTGGCATTTCTGATTTTGCATAGATATGGTGATTTTCTAAGCGTGTCTTAGATGTGGCACAAGGCCAAAAGTGTGGAGCACCCAGCGGGGATCGAACTCGCAACTCAGTCGTAATTGATCTAGCGAGAGAAGCCTATTAACCATCACACCACATCGAGGGGCTCTGGCATTCAAAGTGTAGCTTAGATGTGGCACAAGGCCGAAATTATGGGACACCCAGTGAGTAACGAGCCCACTACTCAGTCGTAATTGATCTAGCGAGACCGGCTTGTTAACCATTACACCGTGTCGATATGCCTTACGTTTTATAAATGTAGCATTGATGTGGTACAGGACCGAAAGTATGGGACACCCAGTGTGAATCAAACTCACTACTCACTCGTAATTGATCTAGCGAAACAAACTTGTTAACCATTACACCTCATCGAGTACCCAGATTTTTCATAGATATGTATGTACAGATAACATCAAAGCATATACAAGGTTGGGTCCTATCAATGGATTCCGAAAATCCGCTTGTGTTTATATATATATATATATATATATATATATATATATATATATATATATCCCCTTCCTTTTCAATATATCACTTCCGTTAAGTTACCCGATTAAATAGGTCAAGGTCTGGTTCCTCCTCCCCAATGTTAAATATGATTGAAAGAAATATTAAATAAATCCTCTCTAAATTCGACCATGTCTCTCAAACCACTCCTCATTACCCCCTCTGTTAAATTACAAAAACTTACACTACTCATCGAAAGTATGAATTTTCATTCCATTTCGTTTCTTTTCATCTTTTGGAAGTGCTATCTGATGAAGAGTGTCCTTTAAAAGGGCTCTGGGGAAATAAATTATTATAATGGAACCTTAAAGTGGTCTGTTTTTATTTAATATATATATATATATATATATATATATATATATATATATATATATATATATATATATATAAATCAGATTAATTAAATCCGTAATTGACATGAAAATGCCAATTTTTAGCCAACTGCGTAAAATAAGTTTTTTTCTTTTTTAAATTTTAATTGTGGTTTTACGAAGCTCACGTGACAAATAAAATCGAACGAGAGATTTAACATTTTTATTTTCCGAATGGTTTTATGAAGGTACTGGAGATGTAATGTTTTCCCGTTCAATGAACAATCAATTTTATCATTAACTGCTTACGACTGTTTTTAATTGGCAACTGAACTGGAGAAGAAAACAAAACACAAAACAAACGTGAACCAGTTTAAACAGGTTTTGTGAAAGGAATTACAGTTTTATTATCGGATTAAAAGTGAACGCTCAATTAATTGTGATTATTTTGAAATTGCTGGTACATTGGGTGTGGTCGCGGAGTCACTATGCAACTGAGCATCTGACCAACTCCCTCCAAATGACTTTGTTGCATTGCCAATGTCTGCGTCTCTGTGACTGATCTTCGAATCCACTCACTGTTGTCGGGCCTTTTTTTTTCTTCTGCCCACCTCTTCGAACGTTTACTCATCTTTTAGTGAGTGTTTGAGAGACCCCCCTCCTATCGTACATTGATCGTCTATATAACTTCTTATCCAGTGGCCTGACATTCAGCTTGGCACCGTCACGAGTATAACAATAAACTAGATCCTATGAATGTGAGTTTTTGAGGAGCATGGGATCACCTCTTAATTGCTGTTGTTTCCAAGTCCACCCTGACACTAATTTCTAGTCCTAGGTATGATGATAAACTACATCCAGCAGCAAGGCCTCTGATCAGGAAATTGAAGGCTTTGAGGAGCATGGAACCACCTCTTAATTGCTGTTGTTTCCAAGTCCACCCTGACACTGATTTCTAGTCCGAGGTATGAAGATAAACTACATCTTGCAGCAAGGACTCTGATGAGAAAAATGGAGGTTTTGAGGATCATGGAACCACCTCTTAATTGCTGTTGTTCCCAAGTCCATTCTGATATTGATTTCTAGTCCTAGGTATGATGATATACTACATCCGGCAGCATCGACTCTGATCAGAAGATTGGAGGATTTGAGGAGCATGGAACCACATCTTAATTGCTGTTGTTCCCAGGTCCACCCTGACCTGGGGTGGTTGCCTGTGTTAGGTTTACTGTCTATGGGAAAATAGTTAAACCCCCAAAACTGGGGTCAAAGCACTATGAAAGTATAAAAAGACATTTTTCTAGAAAAAAATGCCTGCTACAGATATTAAAAAAAACAATGACCAGTAATACATTTGTATAAAATAAATAAAAAATAATAAAAAATACCAGAATTACATTTTTTTAAAACGAAATTTCTAATGATCCCAAGAAAATTAATTTTTGGTATTAAATAACCCATAAATTGTTCTTATGCCGCTAAAGAAAGAAAGAAAGAAAGAAAGAAAGAAAGAAAGAAAGAAAGAAGAAAGAAAGACAGAAAGAAAGAAAGAAAGACAGAAATAAAGAAAGAAAGAAGAAAGAAAGAAAGAAGAAAGAAAGAAATACAGAAAGAAAGAAAGAAAGAAAGAAGAAAGAAAGAAAGGAAGAAAGAAAGAAAGAAAGAAAGAAAGAAAGGAAGAAAGAAAGACAGAAAGAAAGAAAGAAAGAAAGACAGAAAGAAAGAAAGAAAGAAAGAGAGAAAGAAAGAAGAAAGAAAGAAAAGCAGAAAGTAAGAAAGAAAGAAAGAAAGAAAGAGAGAAAGAAAGAAGAAAGAAAGAAAAGCAGAAAGTAAGAAAGAAAGAAAGAAAGAAAGAAGAAAGAAAGAAATACAGAAAGAAAGAAAGAAAGAAAGAAGAAAGAAAGAAAGGAAGAAAGAAAGAAAGAAAGAAAGACAGAAAGAAAGAAAGAAGACAGAAAGAAAGAAAGACAGAAAGAAAAAAAGAAAGAAAGAAGAAAGAAAGAAAAACAGAACGTAAGAAAGAAAGAAAGAAAGAAGAAAGAAAGAAAGAAGAAAGAAAGAAAGAAAGAAAGAAAGAAAGAAAGAAAGAAAGAAGAAAAACAGAACGTAAGAAAGAAAGAAAGAAAGAAGAAAGAAAGAAAGAAAGAAAGACAAAGAAAGAAAGAAAGACAGAAAGAAAGAAAGAAGAAAGAAAGAAATAAAGAAAAACAGAAAGAAAGAAAGAAAGAAAGAAAGACAGAAAGAAAGAAAGAAGAAAGAAAGAAAGAAAGAAATCAGCTTTGTTTTGCTATTACATCTATCAATATCGTTTGAGGTTCGATTCTGCAATTTTGAGGAGGCATTTAGCTTAACCCCCGTGGTCTCCAAGTTCTTTTTAGATTCTGTGTTGACATCGACTACAAAACTTATATCGCATCTATTAGGGTGATTCCATTATATATTGAACTCACCACAGATCAATTCTTAGATGAACGGCCTTGAAGAGCATTTACTGTCATTCATATCTCTCGTATATCCTGATGTTAATTCCATACTATAAGAATAACTCTTTGACTAGTATTGCCAACACCAAAGCCTAACGTCCAACCTGCTCAGCAGTTCTCAGGAATGATAACTATGTTCCCGAATGCCTACGAGATGACCCTGGCTAACTGCTGTATTTGCATACACGTAACATGTGCATCTCTCTGTAATATGACACCATCATATTGCAGTGTGTGTCTCAAGCACAGACAGACAAAATAGTGAGGTAAATGTTACACTGTCTCAAGATGACCGAAGATTGAATCATTTTTATTGGAATAGCTGCTCCTCTTTAGTCTACACGTGTTGCACCCCTGTCTATTGGGGACTCAAGTTCATCACAGAGCTCAAGTGAAACTCACATAGACCATACATTGGTAAAAATACTGGGAGATTGATCAGTACATTATACCGTAGAAGAAAGCATCTGACTCTACCTTCAGTGTTGTTGTTTTTTTCAAGAGTCAGATCAGGTTAAAAGGGAGTATTACTGCCATACGTAGGCTAGAACTACCTGGACGACATTTCAGCTTTAACAGAGTTTAAAAGCGCCTATGTAGCTTTGTAGCAGGCTCGGTGGTGTAATGGATAGCGGCTCGGATTGAGGAATCGGAAAGCCGAGTTCGAAATCCAGTCGACTCCATTACATTCACTTAACGTGCTAATACCCTTGGGAAAGGTTTGAATCATATTTTCCTCCAAGCTGTAGGTAAATAACAGGACAGACCGGGTCCTATAGTCTTGGATGGCAACTAGTCCGCCGCAGAAAGAAATGACAACCTACTGCGGGAAAAAAAATCTGCTTCGTCAGTCATGTATCGAAAGATACATGATCGTCTAAGTGTGTATCACGCATGGCACATAACTGAACTGACGTAATTTTGTGTGTGACGAATTACTTTCCACTCCGCAACACCTTTCTTCCAGACGAAACGTCACAAGCCTTTCAACACTCTGTCACTAATTCCATGGAAAATGTTCTGACGAGCTACATTACCCAGTCCTACAGATATTTACAGCTAGGAAGCGACATGTCACGTGGAGATCAGCATAAGTGTCCCTTTTGTTTCCATTAATATTCTGTAAATGAATGACAGAACAGTGAGTGGAAGGGATGGTGGAAAAACGAGCCATACCAAGAGCTACAAAGAATAAAAATGTTGATTGTCCGTGTCCCCTCAGGCCATGGCGAATAATAATAATAATAATAATAATAATAATAATAATAATAATAATAGAAGGGATTCCTGGAAGTCTATGCCTCAAAGAGATACAAAAATTTGTTCTGACAAGTACAGCCCACACTTTACGAAGGGCTTTATCTATGTAATGTTTTTTTTTTTCTTTCTTGTCAGTGGAAAGTGTCATGATGCCATTTCTAATCTTAGGTCCCTGGGCGGGACCCGGAAAGAAATGTGTAAACGCCAGAAATCAAAGAAAATAAAAATAATATTATTAATAATAATAAGAATAAGAATAATAATAAGAAGAATAAGAATAAAAAGAATATTAATAATAATAATAATAATAATAATAATAATAATAATAAGAAGAAGAAGAAGAAGAAGAAGAAGAAGAAGAAGAAGAAGAATCCATGACTTTTGTCACGTCAGTGTATATTGTTATAAGAGTTCAATCATGTAATTTTGTGTTAAATTTCCCAGAATAAGTCTAAAAATAAAACAAATTTCTTTAAAAATAACAATTGAAAAAACTTCCTAGTGCTAGCCGACACGTTAATATCATTAATTTCTGATACCTGATTTTATATAGAGATGTATGTACAGATAAAATCATAGTATGTACAGGGCTGATGTCTATATAAGGTTTCCGGAATCTGCTGATGTTTTGAAATATATATATATCAAACAGGTTAAGGAGTAGCTTAAAAAAACCAATTTTTAGCCAGTTGTGTAAAAGTAAGTTTTTTTATTTTAAGTTTTGTTTTACGAAGTTCACAAGACAAATAAAATTGTACAGGAAATTTAACATTTTTATTTTCCGAATGGTTTTATGAAGGCACTAAAAATGTAATGTTTTGATGTTCAATGAAGAATCAATTTTATCATTAACTGCTTACGACTGTTTGTAATTGGCAATTGAACTGGAGTGAGAAACAACATACAAAACAAACCTGACTCATTTTGAATCATCCGTATTCCACTGAAAAGAAGGAACTTCTATTCGGCCAGCGTCTTCCCAAGTACCGCTGCTGTGAGGAAAAGACTCCCAAGGATATACTTTCTCGACTCTTTAAATTCTTTAAGTCAAGAGCAATCAGATATCTATCCTATATACCCTCATAATGTACAATTCATAAAACAACTCTATTCAATAACCATCTAATTTGGGTACCACTTGGGCCCTGTTTTGTGGAAACAATGGCTGGAGAAATGGTCTATATTAACATTGTTCTTCAGGGTGTTTTAAAGTTAAGTTTCTGTTCGTTTATTAGTATTCATTCGTTTCTATTCTTTTTCGATTTAGAAAGGCAACGTGACTTTATTTTAATATTAAAAATAAGCGAGAGAGAGGCAGACAGAGAGAGAGAGAGAGAGAGAGAGAGAGGCTGAGAGAAATAAAGAAATCGTGTCTCTTCTGTATAGAATAGTCTGTATCAAATTTGAGAGAAATGGAGAGAAAGGGGGAGAGATAGGGAGATAGGGGAAGAAGGATTGAGAGAGGGGGAGAGATAAAGAAATCGTGTTACTTCTGTGTAGAATAGTCTTTATCAAATTTTGAGAGAGGGGGAGAGAGAGGGAGAGAGAGAGGGAGAGAGAGAGGGGAGAGGAATAGAGAGAGGGAGAGAGAGAGAAAGAAATCGTGTCACTTCTGTGCAGAATCGTCTTTATCAAATTTTGAGAGAGGGGAAAGAAAGAGGTGGAATGAGGCAGAGAGAGGGGGAGAGGGATAGAGAGGAGAGGAGAGAGATAAAGAAAGAAATGGTGTCCTTTCTGTGTAGAATAGACTTTATCAAATTTAAGAGAGGGGGGGAGAGGTGGAGATAGAGATAGAGGGGTAGATGGATAGAGAGAGGGGGAGAGAAAGAAAGAAATGGTGCCACTTCTGTGCAGAATAGTCTTTATTAAATTTGTGAGAGGGTGAGAGAGAGAGGAAGAGGAATAGAGAGAGGGGAGAGATAGAAAGAAATCGTGTCACTTCTGTGCAGAATCGTCTTTATCAAATTTTGAGAGAGGGGAAAGAAAGAGGTGGGGTGAGGCAGAGAGAGGGGGGAGAGGGATAGGGAGAAGGGGAGAGAGGTGGAGAGAGGGTAGAGAAAGAGATAGAGGGGTAGATGGATTGAGAGAGGGGGAGAGAAAGAAAGAAAGAAATGGTGTCCTTTCTGTGCAGAATAGTCTTTATCAAAGTTGAGAGAGGGGAAGAGAGAGGTAGTGAAAGAGATAGAGGGGTAGATGGATAGAGAGAGGGGGAGAGAAAGAAAGAAAGAAAGAAAGAAATCGTGTCACTTCTGTGTAGAATCGTCTTTATCAAATTTGAGAGGGGGAGAGAGAGCGAGGAGAATAATAGAGAGAGGGAAAGAGAGAACGAAATCGTATCATTTCTGTGCAGAATAGTCTTTATTAAATTTGAGAGAGGGTGAGAGAGAGAGGGAAGAGGAATAGAGAGAGGGGGAGAGAGAGAAAGAAATCGTGTCACTTCTGTGCAGAATCGCCTTTATCAAATTTGGTAGAGGGGAAAGGAGGAGGTGGAGTGAGGCAGAGAGAGGGGGAGAGGGATAGAGAGAAGGGAGAAAAGAAAGAAAGAAATGGTGTCCTTTCTGTGTAGAATAGTCTTTATCAAATTTGAGAGAAGGGGAGAGAGAGGTGGAGAAAGAGATAGAGGGGTAGATGGATAGAGAGGGGGGGAGAGAAAGAAAGAAAGAAAGAAAGAAAGAAAGAAAGAAATCGTGTCACGTCTGTGTAGAATAGACTTTATCAAATTTGAGCGAGGGGGAAAGAGAGGTTGAGAAAGAGATAGAGGGGTAGATGGATAGAGAGAGGGGGAGAGAAAGAAAGAAAGAAAGAAAGAAAGAAAGAAAGAAAGAATGAAAGAAAGAAAGAAAGACAGAAAGAAAGAAATCGTGTCACTTCTGTGTAGAATCGTCTTTATCAAATTTGAGAGGGGGAGAGAGAGCGAGGAGAATAATAGAGAGAGGAAAGAGAGAACGAAATCGTATCATTTCTGTGCAGAATAGTCTTTATTAAATTTGTGAGAGAGGGTGAGAGAGAGGAAGAGGAATAGAGAGAGGGGGAGAGAGAGAAAGAAATCGTCTCACTTCTGTGCAGAATCGTCTTTATCAAATTTTGAGAGAGGGGAAAGAAAGAGGTGGAGGAGGCAGAGAGAGGGGAGAGGGATAGGGAGAAGGGAGAGAGGTGGAGAGAGAGAGAAAGAGATAGAGGGTAGATGGATTGAGAGAGGGGAGAAAAGAAAGAAAGAAATGGTGTCCTTTCTGTGCAGAATAGTCTTTATCAAAGTTGAGAGGGGGAAGAGAGAGGTAGTGAAAGAGATAGAGGGGTAGATGGATAGAGAGAGGGGGAGAGAAAGAAAGAAAGAAAGAAAGAAAGAAAGAAATCGTGTCACTTCTGTGTAGAATCGTCTTTATCAAATTTGAGAGGGGGAGAGAGAGCGAGGAGAATAATAGAGAGAGGGAAAGAGAGAACGAAATCGTATCATTTCTGTGCAGAATAGTCTTTATTAAATTTGAGAGAGGGTGAGAGAGAGAGGGAAGAGGAATAGAGAGAGGGGGAGAGAGAGAAAGAAATCGTGTCACTTCTGTGCAGAATCGTCTTTATCAAATTTGGGAGAGGGGAAAGGAGGAGGTGGAGTGAGGCAGAGAGAGGGGGAGAGGGATAGAGAGAAGGGGAGAGAAAGAAAGAAAGAAATGGTGTCCTTTCTGTGTAGAATAGTCTTTATCAAATTTGAGAGAAGGGGAGAGAGGGGTGGAGAAAGAGATAGAGGGGTAGATGGATAGAGAGAGGGGGAGAGAAAGAAAGAAAGAAAGAAAGAAAGAAAGAAAGAAAGAAAGAAAGAAAGAAATCGTGTCACGTCTGTGTAGAATAGACTTTATCAAATTTGAGAGAAGGGGAGAGAGAGGTGGAGAAAGAGATAGAGGGGTAGATGGATAGAGAGAGGGGGGGAGAAAGAAAGAAAGAAAGAAAGAAAGAAAGAAAGAATGAAAGAAAGAAAGAAAGACAGAAAGAAAGAAATCGTGTCACTTCTGTGTAGAATCGTCTTTATCAAATTTGAGAGGGGGAGAGAGAGCGAGGAGAATAATAGAGAGAGGGAAAGAGAGAACGAAATCGTATCATTTCTGTGCAGAATAGTCTTTATTAAATTTGAGAGAGGGTGAGAGAGAGAGGGAAGAGGAATAGAGAGAGGGGGAGAGAGAGAAAGAAATCGTCTCACTTCTGTGCAGAATCGTCTTTATCAAATTTTGAGAGAGGGGAAAGAAAGAGGTGGAGTGAGGCAGAGAGAGGGGGAGAGGGATAGGGAGAAGGGGAGAGAGAGGTGGAGAGAGAGGTAGAGAAAGAGATAGAGGGGTAGATGGATTGAGAGAGGGGGAGAGAAAGAAAGAAAGAAATGGTGTCCTTTCTGTGCAGAATAGTCTTTATCAAAGTTGAGAGAGGGGAAGAGAGAAGTAGTGAAAGAGATAGAGGGGTAGATGGATAGAGAGAGGGGGAGAGAAAGAAAGAAAGAAAGAAAGAAAGAAAGAAAGAAATCGTGTCACTTCTGTAGAATCGTCTTTATCAAATTTGAGAGGGGAGAGAGAGAGGAGAATAATAGAGAGAGGGAAAGAGAGAACGAAATCGTATCATTTCTGTGCAGAATAGTCTTTATTAAATTTGAGAGAGGGTGAGAGAGAGAGGGAAGAGGAATAGAGAGAGGGGGAGAGAGAGAAAGAAATCGTGTCACTTCTGTGCAGAATCGTCTTTATCAAATTTGGGAGAGGGGAAAGGAGGAGGTGGAGTGAGGCAGAGAGAGGGGGAGAGGGATAGGGAGAAGGGAGAGAGAAAGAAAGAAAAATGGTGTCCTTTCTGTGTAGAATAGTCTTTATCAAATTTGAGAGAAGGGAGAGAGAGGTGGAGAAAGAGATAGAGGGGTAGATGGATAGAGAGAGGGGAAAGAAAGAAAGAAAGAAAGAAAGAAAGAAAGAAAGAAAGAAAGAAAGAAAGAATGAAAGAAAGAAAGAAAGACAGAAAGAAAGAAATCGTGTCACTTCTGTGTAGAATCGTCTTTATCAAATTTGAGAGGGGGAGAGAGAGCGAGGAGAATAATAGAGAGAGGGAAAGAGAGAACGAAATCGTATCATTTCTGTGCAGAATAGTCTTTATTAAATTTGAGAGAGGGTGAGAGAGAGGAAGAAGAATAGAGAGAGGGGAGAGAGAAAAGAAATCGTGTCACTTCTGTGCAGAATCGTCTTTATCAAATTTGGGAGAGGGGAAAGGAGGAGGTGGAGTGAGGCAGAGAGAGGGGGAGAGGGATAGGGAGAAGGGGAGAGAAAGAAAGAAAGAAATGGTGTCCTTTCTGTGTAGAATAGTCTTTATCAAATTTGAGAGAAGGGGAGAGAGAGGTGGAGAAAGAGATAGAGGGGTAGATGGATAGAGAGAGGGGGAGAGAAAGAAAGAAAGAAATCGTGTCACTTCTGTGTAGAATAGTCTTTATCAAATTTGCGATAAGGAGAGAGAGAGAGTGAAGAGGAATAGAGAGGGGGGGAGAGAGAAAGAAATCGTGTCACTTCTGTGCAGAATCGTCTTTTTCAAATTTTGAGAGAGGGGGAGAGAGAGGGGAGAGGAATAGAGAGAGAGGGAGAGAGAAAGTAAGAAAGAAATGGTGTCACTTCTGTGTAGAATAGACTTTATCAAATTTGAGTCTATCACATGAAAAGGCCGTATTTCCTTTCAGTTTCAAGAATCAGCCACAATACACGAGTCCTTATGTAAACTGTTTCTTTTGTTCGTCACTCTTCTTTGTTTGACTCGTACAGTCTTAAAAGATTTTTCTCTTTTGTTCTCAAAATAAAGGAAAACTTTTCGAATCAAATTTCCAATTTCCAATAAAAGCCATGAAAATTCCAGAAGGCATCTTTGCAATTTAAGAACTGAATGCAAATTATGTTATTTTAAGAATACAGTATCAGACATAATTACAAGTAGAATGTTAAATGAAATTTTTAAAAAGACAAAAATATTATAACTTGACAAAATTACTAATATCACGCTTTTTTTTAAAAAAAAGTATTTCACTAGTTAAACAAATAACCCTTTTTTATTTGTTCACCATTTATTCTTCCACCGCTTCTCTTAGAATGTTACTGAAAACTACAGTGTGGTTGTTAGTTTCATGGCGCTATCTATCTTTGGACTTACACGCCGTGCTTGATTCAAAAATCGTACGACTCATACAGCAATCGCCCTTTGCCGTGCTGATGTTGCTACATGCCATACTTCTTGCCTATCTCACACTGCGAATTTTTTCTAAGCTCTATACTAAACATTAAATCTATCACGAAAAAAGAACTAAACAAAATGAACACAAAACGATCAGATTTAAAAAAAAAAAAAAAAGGACTCGTAACTGGAAAAACTGAATGAAAAAAGAATGTTAACAACAAATAATTTTTCACACCAAACCCCGTTCTGCGGAATCAGAATCAATGTTGAGTTTAAGCAAGCGAATGAGCCAATTGGAGTAAAGTGCCATGCAGATTTAATTTTTCCCCACTTGTGATGAATGCAGCTATTGATTTTTTTTTTGCATGCTAGCTTGCTAGTTAACATTCGTGTCAGTCAGCTGTTGGCTCTCACGCTGGCCAATAGAATCTTCCTGCCTATTCGTGGCAGCCAGCTATAGGCTCTCACTCTGGCCAGCAGAAAATGGCTGCAAACTACATTAAAACTGCCGTAGAAGCGTGGAAAAATCGATTATTTCCACTATCGATGGGAGTTGGGAAATGCAAAGTCGGTCTTGGCCTTCCCGCTAACTTGGAGCATGTGTATGTAAATTTTGGTGCAAATCCGTCGAAAATTGCGGCCGTGCATTCGTTACACACACACACACACACACACACACACACACACACACACACACACACACACACACACACACATCCTGTCATTTATAGATAGAGATTTTATTTTATTTACTTGCTTATTTAATCAACTGATATCTTGTGTGTATTTTCTACGGTTGTCAATTTTCAATGTCGAAATAAATAGATTTATTTTATACGTCATTATCTACTCTTTATGGCGGTGACATGATTTTAAATCTCATGCCCTAACTTACGTGGATGGAGGTCTAGAAAGTTCATTGGCTGACCAAGATATAAATATACGTAGACACACAAGATGGCAGACTAAAAAACAATCGACATACGGAATGAGAACAATAGTCTAATGGATTTATGCTTTCTTTCGTGTATATGATGATATAGTAATTATGAGTTCAATCCCAGGGCCGGGTAGTGTATACGTGAAATTTGAAACAGAGTGAACATTAATTGAGCAGTACTAAAAATAAACCAAGATGAGATATCCCTAGACATGGGCAGTGGAATAAG